TTGTGATATTGAAGTTCTGAATAACCTGTAAATAATGGAGCCTTCTACCTAGGGGATGATGAAAATATAAAAATAGATCAGTGTTTGGTAGCTTTTGGATCAATAGATAATCTTTCCAGCTGTCTCCTGGAGGCTAAATTACTTGAAACAGTAGTGAGGGTGTCTTGGACATGCAACACTTGATGTTTGAAGAGATTGAGCTCTCCTAGATATTTTGGCTTACATCTGAAGCAGCAGAGAAAAAAGAGGAATGTCTGAAAATGGTGGTTCCAAAACATCTTACATAGATTATTGTTATTAATATTGTTTCTGTTTAATTGAAACCCTGAGCTTCTAAATTATGAACTTTAAAGGAAAACAGTGTTCTCTAACAATCACTCCTTTAGTTGTGATTCACATTGGGTTTTTGTCTATGACATTATTTTGTAGCCTGCAGCTGCCCCACTTTTTGTGTATTTCTTGGCATTCCATTCCCTTCTTTTATAAGTTACCATTGTCAGCCTTGTTCATCTGGCATTTTTTTTAAATAACGTGCTCCAAGTATTGCCTTTGCTTCTCCAACAGCTCTAAGTGATTCTAACTTTTCTATGCAAGGATATTCATTACAATAACATTTTTCTTTATCATAAATAATTTTGGTAGTAGTAATTTCATCTGTTTCATGTGCTGAAATTTGATCTCTGTGACTTCCTCATTAGTGGTATCTGGAATTATTAAAAACCAACAACACAGTTCCAGTCTGGAGCATCTTCTTCCAAGGTTAAACATATCTAAAGTGCACTGAGTCTCTGGGCTGATTGGCCTGACTGTCCTTGTCTTGGTTCTGTGATATTCTCTAGGGTTAGGAAAATGTCCTGTTAAGTACCTCATGCTGATCAAAAGAGTTCTGTAATGAGCAAATCGTGGGATGTAAATGTCCTTAATATATTTTGGGAGTTTAATATTTTACTCTAACAGTTTAAACTGTAAAAAGGAAAAATGGAAGGAGAGGGAAAGGTCTTTGTAAAAAGGAAAACCAGTGCTATACCTTAGCAGAGATCTTTCTAGCTTTCAGCAGATGCAGAAATTTCTCACCATCCTTGAGTGCATTTTGTTCTTATTTTATTTCATTTCCTAACCAAATGAAGTAGAAATTCCCTATATAAATAAATGCAGTTTTACTTGTAAGACTTTTCAGACTTTGATATAAATGACTGTGTTGTCCTTATTGTTCAGGTAATACTGTTGACACTGGTTGAGACTGTAGGAATTTTCTGGAGTAAGAGAACAGTCAGTGCCTTGATTTCTTCCAACTTTTCATCCATCCAGACATGGATGTGTTGAGAAACTGCACAGCTTCTCATGTCAAGTGGCAAATCAGGCTTGAAAACACTTGAATATGCTATTCAGGGAGCTGGATCTGACATTGAGTGACCTGGGGGGGAACTGCAGCCTTGGGGTAGAAATGCAGTGGAAAATCCTCTCCTGACCTGGGGGAGTCTGTAGCATCACAGCTCCTGGTCAGAGCCTGTGAGAATTGGCTCATCCTGAACTGAGAATAAATGAGATGGGCAGGGAAAAGCTCTAAGAAAATTAGAATGGAAGCAACTCAGACTGAGAAAATTGTTTGAAAATATCTCGAGTACAAGCAGTATGCAAATGCTGGTAATGGTCACAAGAAATCAGGGACTTGATTAATATATTCTCCTGTTGCAAAGTTCTCCTCATTACACTATGAATAGATGTAATTCTGTCCATAGGAACTTGAATACAGATATTTTGGCATTCAAGGAATTCTGTGCCTTTCTCCTCCTTCTCTTTTTAACCCAATGCCAGCAGCAATTTTTACTTCCTTTTCATCCCAAAGTATCTTTCTTCCCTTTGCAGAGAAAGATTAACAGAGAAATGGCAAATGGCTCAATACCAAGCTTTTTCATTTTTTCAGGAAACCAATAAATTCCTTTCTATCCCTTCTAGGAATGAAGGCCAAAAATTTATCACAGAGCAACAATAAAATAAGAGTATTTAAGGACTTAAATAAATAAACTTTAATAAACTTATATTTTCAGCACAGAGCAGATGGTGTTTGACAGACCTGCCTGAAGCTATGTAGCATCACATGCCATGCTAGTTATTTTTCAATAATTTGATTTACTAAACAGATTTCTTTGAAATCATATGGGGAAGAAGGGGGTTTGTATACAGACTGAAAGGGGGTTTGTATACATTTTATAAGTAACAGGTGAAGGTCAGTTAAAATTCCTGGATAGGTAAAAATGGTGCAGAATAGGAGACTTCAGCCATATTTGTGTGAGTTAATAAAATATTGCCATTGAGAGAGCTCAACTGGATCTCTTGTTTTGGTTTAGTTTTCCAGCACATCCCATTTAGCATCTCAGGCAGCACTGAGGCACAATTTGGGCAACTGCAGGCAGCAATGTGGAACAGGCTTTGCTCTGCTTTGGAGGGACAAGGGACTGGCCAGATGGATATGGACAGTTTGTGTTGTGTGGCCTAAGGGTCACAGAAGGGTTCCCAGTTGTTTTGTGCTTCACAATAGGATGTACCTTAAGGGCCAGTTTATATAAACACTGTTTATTTAAAACTGGAGTTGAAAAGTTACCTGATGGATTTGAAGGGAGGCTTAGGAGAGGTGCTGGATTTAGGCTGCCATGGATCTGCTCTCTGTGAGAGTTTCCACCTATGAGACATACCCAGATTAAGAACCTAAATTGTAAACTTTGAGGTCACTGTCAAAATTTCTACTTTTTTTTTCCAATGTCGAGGAGCCTTTTCCTCTAAATGGTGCAGTTTATCAAACGCTTAATTCATTTAGTGTCACTGTATCCCATAGCTGACTACCCTGGAAGGATTCCCAAGTTCCTGCTCAAGGACAACTTTCTGACCCCCTAAATGAGTGCCAAGCATTAATTGCTTGACCTCACCATGTTGGTGGTAAATACAAAATATATCTGCCCTGCATGATAGCAATGAAGAGGAATTGTGAACCACTTGTTTTATTTGAGACCTGTAAAATACCTGTGTAATTGTCTTGGTGTTTGCTCTTTGATTATTCACATTTGTTAATACTCACAGGAATTTTAGCCTGTTTAGCAAACTATTCTCTGTTTTTATTAAAAATAAGGAAAGAAAAAGTGCCAAAGAAAGGTTATCTTTGCCCTAAAAAAAAAAAGTCTTGACATGTCTTCTGTGGTTATGGATCTTTCTAAGCCAGTCCATTAAAGCTTAAATAATGAGAAGGAAGAGAAGAATTTAAAGAATATTAGATTAAAAATAAAGTGTCCCAGAACATGAATGTCTCCAAGGAAACCTGGTTCAGCAACTGCACAGCACACAGCTGCAGTAATTTTCTTTTTTTCTAAGTTTTCCTAGACTATAACTCTGTAGTCTAACAAACTAGAACCTGGCTGAGACTGGCTTATCTTGCAGTCCCTGCTGTACCATTCCAACAGGCAGGAGAGGCTTCCTGAACCAAACTTTTCTGCCTCAGCTTTATTGTGAAATTTCAGCTTGAAAAACAGGTTTGACTGTGTGCACATATGACACCTGCTGTCTTGAACAAAACACCAGGGGCTGAATTTGGGACATCTAAATCCAAAAGCCTGTGCTGACATTGCTCAGGCTAAAGAGAAGTGGTTCTTCAGCTGGGGACCAGAAGAACTCAGTCAAAGGATGAACACAAGAAAAGTGAGATAAAAATATCAGCGGGTGACACAGATGCCTCCTCTTGTGTGATAGCAAATTCTTTCTCTCTCTGTTTTCTGGTGTCAATTTGTGTGATTAATTCTAGAATTTGTAATGGATCCTTTTTAGAAAGCTAAGAGGTAAATTTATGTTTTGTATTAAATTCTGGTGGCACTTGATATTGTTATGTTTGAATTTCTAAATAAAAAAAAAAAGGAGATGGGTTTTACAGGTTTTTAAATGATCATAAAAGCTTTGGCCTTGTGTCATAATTAGAATTACAGGCAATAACAGAAAGCAGGCATTCTCTGGAATGAATGCCTAAAGCAAAGACTGGAACAGAGGCCTCTTGCCAATGTAGGGCTGATAACAGTGCTGTACATGTGAGAGGTATCATTGAAAGGGTGTCTTTAATCCCCATCCCACCCCAAAAGTGACTTCTCAATAGCTCCCAGAAACGTGTGCTATTAGGCTCAGCTGGAGAGAGAAAATTGCTCTTAATCATATGCAAGGAACAATTCTAAATAGAAGGATTTGAAAACAGCCTTGGGAAGGAAAGAGTACTGCCAGAAAGAATGGAAGATCATTTTGATTCTTGATGAAAAGCTTTCAAACAGAGTTCAATGTGCAAAAGATGTGACAAATCTTTAGAGAAGTAGTTTTCTCTTAAGAGAAAGGTAATACAGCTAACAAAATCATTTAATGTTTTTTGTGCCATTGAACCTGAAAACCATATTTTCCCCCCATTGGTTATGAGACACAAAAGGCTTTTTTTCCCCCTTTTTAATCTTCGTGAGGAGTTTTGCTTTGAGACTTCCTGCAGGAAAGTGTTTTAAGTGGAATTCTTCTTTATACTGAACCTAATGTCTGCCAATATGATTCCTGTTACAGGCGTAGGGACCATTTTCCTTCTGTCCTCAAGCTGTGTTGCTGCTTATTATCATGTTTAACATTCCCAGTGCTTGGCAGGATGGAGATTAGAAACTCTTAATATTCATTTTATAGTGAAAGGTCTTGCCAGTTTTTTTTGAGTATTAGCTATAATATATGCACATAATTTATTGGTGGAAAAGTTCTGAACTCTCCGTTGAGTCACCTTAATCTTTGTTCTTATCACTTTAGGATTGTTCTAAAATAGTCTTCTCTGCCTCCTGCACATAAACACGTTAAAAACATTACTTTGGAAATAACAACTTGATGGTAGCAAACAAAAAAGCTGCAATAATTTCCTTTGATGAATCCTACTGTTTTTTAAAAAAAGTTTATATTGCCTAGAGGATTTTTTCTCTAACTCTAAAATTTTGGGTTTTTAACAGACTGGAAGGAAAGAGAAGGGAGACCCACTCAACATTGCCATTGACAAGATGACCAAGAAGACACGAGACCTTAGGAGACAGGTGAGCCCTGCCTTTGCTAATGTTTCCTGATTTTCCAAGGAAATCATTGCTTTCCAACTTCAGACTGGTTTTGCCACATGAAAAGGTGTAAAGAATTGGTGTTCTCATTTAGATATGACCCTACATTGCACATGACATTAAGCAAAGTAGCAGCATTTCCTGTAACAAAAAATAAAAAAAAAGGGAGAAGGAAATGCATTCCAAGTGCAATCCCCAATGGTCTTTCCATGTGGGAGGGGAGGCAGATTGTCCAGACTTTCCCTGCCTTGGCAGCTCAAAAACCCCAGTCATAAAAACACTGGCATATGTGCTTATTTGTGTTTTATTTGAATACTCTCACTGGAGTAACAGGAAAGATGAGCAGAATATGAAAAGGAAAAATTGTAAGAGTAAAATATATTCAAAGAGAACTTCCAAGGTGCTGGATTAAATAAAGATCCTGTGAAAATACGGGCAGTCATAATAAATAACAATTTTGCCAGAGAGGTGGATGTCCCATCCCTGCAAACACTCAAGGCCAGTTTGGGTGGGTCTGAGCAATCTGATCTTGTTGAGGATGACCCTGCCCGTGGCACTGGGAAGTGAACCAGATGACCTTTAAATGCCCCTTCTAACCCAAATATCCTATGATTTTATGAATAACTGAAAAACCTAGATTAAACCATAAACTTAGGCTTTCTTGTATTACATTTATCTTTTTTTTTTTTATTGTGATAAGAAAGAAAAATTAATTCAAAAACCTTGAGATGGAAAAGAAGTGAAAAGAGATTGGCAACCAAAAGGGAGGGATTTCTCTTTACACCTTCAAGTTTAGGAAGGACAGATTGCCTCTTTTTAGCTCTTTTTTTCTCCCTTTGAGATGACACCAATTCTGCATTTTTATACAGATTAAATAATAATAATAGTAATAATAATGAAAATTCTACCTGGCCCCTGTGAAAATGATCCCAAATCCAGAAAACTGCCAAACCAAGTAAAGATTTAAATGTATCTTCAGGCCCCTATCTGCAGCATGATGGTTTTGGAAAGAGTGGCCCCTGTAGGCATTTTGAAATCAGTGTTCTGCACTGCTAAAACTCAGCTCATTTCAGCTCTTGCTTCTTAACCTTTAGCAGACGTGTTTGAAAATCATCTTCTCAGAGCTTATTTTGCCAAATAACAAACCCATTGCAGTGGACCTACAGACAATATGAATCACTGAGTCTCCTATATAAAGCCTGGCATCACATCTGCTGCTCAGCTAATGACAGAAGAAAGATCTTTGCTGTTCTGACCTCCAAATTTGTGGGATCCTCGTCTCTGCAGTGGAGCTGGGACCATGTGTTGCCTCCCACCTCTGTTCTCACTGCTTCAAGGAAGTAGCAGACTAACACATGAGTGAGTTCTGTGTGAGGCTCTCAGCAGTTGCCTGAATTACTCATCCCTAAAGCCAAATTTACTCTGAAACGTGATATAAAAGTGGCACCTGTCTCAATAAGCTGTGTGCTTCTCATGTGTATCCACCCTTGTGCGATGTTCAGCCTCAGAGAGGTTGGAACTCTGGATGTGGGAAAAGTGAAGCACAAATATTGTATTTTCCTGCTTGGATATGAGGCTTTTAGTACAGTTTCTGATATTTATGGCAGTTAATCACGTAGGTATAATGTTTATTAAATTGTGGCAGTTGCTAGTAAACTAATCAAGATTAAATCATAATTGTGCTGGGTTTTGCACAAACGTAGAGGAAGATGGAGTCTGCTTTCAACAATGTGCATTCTGACTGTAAATCATAATCCTTCAGAATCATGATCAGTGTTCTGCTTCATCACATTAATATAATCAGCAGAGTAGCTGTGTGTGGCTGCCCAGACCTACCTGCTGAATTCCAGAATGTGAGGGTGTCACTGAGGGCTTCCTTTGATGGCCTGAAGATTCAGAGGAAATGAGCTGCAGTGGAGGTTACAGAGTCCCACTGCTTCAGTCTTTCTATTCTGGGAAAAATCATTGCAGAGACAAACAGCTTTGACTATCATCATGCCTTTTGTCTTAATGGATCCCCTTTAAAACTTGCTTTTCAGACTTTGGATGTTTACTGTTAACACCATAAAACTAGATAACCTACAGAGGCATTTTGGTGATGAAAAATACAAATATAGATAAATAGATTTTTTTTTTTCCAATTGGTAGTCAGGCTCCCTTGCAAATCTTCAGTATTCACCCATCTAAGACTGATTTTTCATTTTCTCCCCAGGTCACTTAGCTCTTTATTTCTGATATTTGATTTCATTATCTGCATAACATTCAGACATGGGAAATTATTGTGGATGGAACACATGGTGCTAAAATTCCGCCTCACGATTCACAGACACTTCAATATTTCTTATTCTGATGGAATTACCTCTTTTAAACTTATCATTTCAACTCTTCTGAGAATTGAGAAAGTATTTTGGAGATCTAATTATATGTCTTACTAAAAACTGCCGGTAAGAACATCAAGCTGAGTCAGACTGAGCAAGTTCTTGGAAGCAAACACACCTCACCAGCCCATGGCTTACTGCTGCCATTCCTCACTGGATTTTCGTGGAATCACAGGGTGGTTTGGGTTGGAAAGGATCCTAATACTCATCCTTATCCAACACTCTGCCATGGCAGGTACATCTCCCACTGTCCCAGATTGCTCCAAGCTCTGTCCAGCCTGGCCTTGGACACTTCCAGGGATCCAGGGTCAGCCACAGCTTCTCTGGGCACCCTGTGCCAGGGCCTGCCCACCCTCACAGGGAATAATTCCTTCCTAAAATCTAACCCAGGCTCCTCAGTACAATTTTAACAAGGAGCTACTGGAGAAGGTGCAGCAGAGGTCACAAGGATGATGAAGGGTCTGGAGCATCCCCCTCATGAGGAGATACTGTAGGAATTGGGCTTGTTTAGTCTGGAAAAGAGAAGGGGGATCTCATCAATCCATACAAATATTTCCAAGGCAGGGATCACAGGATGGTGCCAGACTCCTTGCAGTGGTGCCCAGTGACAGTACAAGGACTAATGGCCATGAACCAAAGCACAAGAAGCTTCACCTCAATGTGACAAAGAACTTCTTTATGTTGAGGGTGGCAGAGCACTGGAACAGCTGCCCGGGGCAGGCCGTGGAGTCTCCCTCTCTGGAGACCTTCCAAACCCACCTGGACACATTCCTGTGTCACCTGCTCCAGGTGACACTGCCTTGACTGGATGATCTACAGAGGTCCCTTCCAACCCTAAAATCTCTGTGATTCTGTAACCCTGCCCTCTGGCAATTAAAGCCATTCCTGCTGTCCTGTCACTCCATGCCCTTTCCAAAAGTCCCTGTCCAGCTCTCTTGTAGTGCCTTTAGGCACTGGAAGGTGCTAGAAGATCTGGAAGCCTTCTCCAGGCAGAATCAGCCTTTCATTTTGAACAAGCTGGAGAAAGCACTGGATCTGATAAGAAGTTGTGCCAATTGGCAAGATTGGGGATCTCTTTTTCCCACTGATATGTAAGACTGTAGTTAAAAAAAAAAAAAACCAAACAAAAAAGAAAAAACCCAAAAGGTAACAAAGGCATTTTCCCCTGTGTGGTACAGCAAGTCAGACCAGCAGTGGGTGCTGGTTGATTCCAATTATTTTGTTAGCTTTTCCTCCATAGGAGGAAAGAGAAACACCAACCCAAGAGTTCAAATGCTGCAGGTAACCCCAAAGCATCAGGCACACCTGACATTTTGAGCCTCACAGCTCTGGGGTGACACTGAGAAAGAGGCAGGCAGGACCCACCAGAGGGTTTGGTCACAGCACCTGGAGGTGCAGCTCAGCCTGGAGCTGCATGAGCAGAGCAGCAGCTGCTGGGCTGCCACCAGCACTGCTGGGATGTCACCAGCACTGCTGGGTGTCACCAGCACTGCTGGGATGTCACCAGCACTGCTGGGTGTCACCAGCACTGCTGGGATGTCACCAGCACAGCTGCACTGTCACCAGCACTGCTGGGTGTCACCAGCACTGCTGGGATGTCACCAGCACTGCTGGGATGTCACCAGCACTGCTGGGTGTCACCAGCACTGCTGGGATGTCACCACCACAGCTGCACTGTCACCAGCACTGCTGGGTGTCACCAGCACTGCTGGGATGTCACCAGCACTGCTGGGTGTCACCAGCACTGCTGGGATGTCACCAGGACTGCTGGGTGTCACCACCACAGCTGCACTGTCACCAGCACTGCTGTCCCTCCTGCTGGCCCTGCTGCCACCCCCATGTCCTGTTCCAGCTGGCAGCTGAGCTGCTCCGTTCTGCACGAGCCACTCGAGGTGGAATAACCAAAACCATTTGTTTCACCTTAAACGCCTCCCATCAGTGCTGCCATTGCAGAGCCTGCCTGGATTGTTTCAGTTTTGCCCAGTCGAGGCTTCCTGTGCCTCCCAGTGGAAGGAATTGGAAAGAAATAAGATTTCTTTTTCACCACCAACTCTCAATTTATACTGGAAATTATGCTTTCATACAGCTGTTAAGGGGTATTCATCCAACTCCTACAGACTGAGGTTTGTGTTATTACTAAAGCTGCTTAGAAATACTGTGTGAAATAAATTCTCCACAGAAAATGATAATTTTCTTAAAAACTTGAAAACTTGCAGAAATTATCCAGAAATTTAATTTTTAAAATTCAAAAAAAAATTATATATTAAAAAAAAAGCTTGAGAGTGTTGAAAAGTCTAGTGTGGATTTTTTCCAGTAGTTTCCAGTATTCATTTTGAAAGTTATTATTATTATTATTATTATTATTATTATTTTATTTTAGCTTATACTTATTATTGATTAACCAATTTATTAATTTATTAATTCGTTTTTAGTTTAGCATCACAAATACATATATTTACACATGAATAATTATTAAAAATTAAACAGTCCTTTTTACAATGGCCAAGGAGATTTTTCTTTGTTTTAAAGAACTTTGCTAGGTTTTAAATTTTCATATTTTATCTGAAAGTAGAAAAAAAGAAAAAAAAAATTAAAAATACTGTA